CAGTGGTTGAGTTCTAGTTCTTAGGATATTACAATATTTTATGCGCAGCTAATTCCCACAACCTAATTCTTTACCGTGAGCTGAAAATACCAGACACAACGAGGCATCTTAGGAGTTTTATTCCAGCGGGGAAGGAACAGGGTGGAGGTAGTGGAGATCAGAAAAGGGGAAGGGGAGGAGGGGAAGGGAGGCCAGAAGAAGAGAGAAGAGAAAGAGCAGAGAGAGAGAACCGCACCTGGGGGCCTTTTCCTCTGCCAGGTGTGGGGAGTGGGGATTGGGAGGGATTGAGGGCAGGCCCCAGGGGTTTGGCAACTGCAGGTGAATGCCTGAGGATGATTGGTGAGTGGGCGGGGAAGGGGCTGGAAAATTTGGGGTGGGATTCTCAGGTGGAATGCCAGGTTACATCTGATTGGTGGATGGCTGGACTGGGCGTGAATTTCATGAGCTGTGAGGAAGAGGAAATGGCGCTGGGTCCAGGGTGGGATATTTGCAACAACTGCTTACACTCTCTGTGTATCCCACTTTGCAATAAAAATTAAAAAGAAAATGGAACTCAAAGAAAAGTATTTTTCTGGTTGAGCAAGAAGTTGGGACTCTTGCATTCCACACTAGGGTAGCTGAGATGAAGTCCCGTGTCCACTTCCAATCCAGCCTTTTGCTGCTCTGCGTGGGTGACAGCAGATTTCTTGCGTCCCGGCCACCCGGTGGGACACCCAATTCGGGTTCCTGGCTCCTGGCTTCATCCTGGCTGTTGCATGCAATTTTTTTTTTTCTCTGTTGCTCTGCCTTTCAAATAGCAAATAAATAACTTTGAAACTTCAATAGTTTGGCCTTTAAAAAATATTTTCATTGGAAAGACAGATCAGATTTACAGAGAGACAGAAAGATTCTTCCATCTGCTGGTTCAGTCCCAAATAGCCATAATAGCTGGAGCTGAGCTGATCCAAAGCCAGGAGCCTGGAGTTCCTTCCAGGTCTCCCCCACACGGGTGCAGGGTCGCAAGGCTTTGGGTTTTGGGCTGTCCTCTGCTGCTTTCCCAGACTGCAAGCAGGAAGCTGGAAGAGAAGCTGAACATCCAGGACAGGAACCAGATTCTATAAGGGATTCTGGTGCTGTATCCTGCCCTGGCCTGTTCTTTTTTATTGGAAAATTCACAGAGAAGGAAAGAGAGAACTTCCATCTACTAGTTCATTCCCCAAATAGCCACAATGGCCAGAGCTGAGCCAGTCTGAAGCGAGGAGCCTCTTTAGGGTTTCCCATGCAAGTGCAGGTTCCCAAGGCTTTGGGCCATCCTCAACTGCTTTCCCAGTCCATAAGTAAGGAGCTGGATGGAGAGTGGAACAGCCTGGACAAGAACTGGTGCCCAAATGGGACCCTGGCGCTTGGAGGTGGAGGATTACCCAATTGAGTCATCACACCAGCCTCAGTTGACTGCTCTCTTGCTGACATGCGTATGCTGTGGCCTGTTCTGTGAAAGTCCCCAGCATACAGTTCCTGTAGCCCTCAGTGTCCTCCGTCTGTCCGGTCCCTTGTTTAGTGCACAGCCTGTGGTGGTGGGCTGTACGACCCCTGTCCCTTACCTTGTAAGCTGAGGCAAGAGGAGCTGGCAATGTTACACTAATTTCTCACCTGGGAGGCAAGAATCCAATTCTTAGTGTCATTCTTACTGCCTCCCTGGAAGCTGGACTTAGGAGCCAGGCTCGGATATTGTACCAGGTATGCTATTAGGAGACACAGGCCTCCCCTCACACACCATCTAACCATTTCATTTGTTTATTTGAAAGGTGAAGTGATGAAGAAAGAGAGAGATCTTCCATTTTTAGACTCACTTTCCACATGGTGGCAGCAGCTGGGACTGGGTCAAACTAGATCCAGGAACCAGGATCTGGGTCTTGTGGGCGGCAAGGACTCGAGGCTGAGCTACCATCTGCCAACTCCCGGTTGCCTGGACAGGAAGCTGGATTGTGAGCACAACAGGCAGGACTTGAACACCCGCACTCCGATTTGTGATGCGGGCATTCCAAGCAGGGCTTCATCGGCTGCACGGTGACATCTGCTCCAGGGAGTTTGATTAAAGCCCTTTGGCTGGTGTTTGGGACAAGCACATTCCATGTTAGGGCGTCTGGGCTTGAGTTGCAGCTTCCCTTCTGATTCTAGTATCCTCTTAGAGCACCCCCCGGGGAACAGCAGGTGGGGATTCTCGGACCGCGATCCCTACTGCGGAAGACTCAGGCAACATTTTAGACCCACACTGGCTGTCGCAGGCATTCCGGGAGTGAACCTGTGCATGGGAAATCTGTCTTTGGTTGTCTCTATCTCTCTCAGTGCCTCTTTTCAAGCCAATCATTTAAAAAATTAAAAGAAAAAAAATTGTATCAGAAGAGTTACTGGGACTCTGTACATACTATCCTGTAGAATGACGCTGGGACAGGCTGGGAACTTTGCCCTGAGGAAAAACAATTTCCAGGTTTCTCTCCGCCTTCCTGCCAGCCCCCACGTCTCTGCCTGTCTCTCCTGACTCAGAGCGAGGGGGTTTGCTCTGCAGTTCCACCGCCTTCTCTTGCCTTCCAGAAGGCGTGCAGTTGCCTCAAGCGGCGTCTGTATAACCTCATCGGTCTGGAATCTCATTTTCTCTCACTGGAATGCAGATTAACTTACAGGAAAGAAGACCAAAATCAGCACCACGTCCAGAGCCCAGACCAGTTTTGTTCCGCGGTGGTGTCTGCTTTTGGGGCCCCTGCATCAGTCCTACAGATAATGTGTTCCACTGCTCCCCAGGAAACCCCTACCTCCCAGTGCCCTCGGAGGCCCACAGTGCTATTGAAGTGCTCACCGTTTGGTCTTTGAGTTTCATTATTATGTACGGTTCCCACACGCAACTGTCCATAACTAATTTGTACACCTTTGCTCCTGTTAATCTCTTATCCATATATTTCAGCAGACTCAAATTTCAAGCTCTCTGAAGGCGGAGGGGAGATTGGTGACACCAACGTTAGAGAAAGGAATCCTGGCAGGAGTTCGTTCAGGTTTGTCCCAGGGGGAGGTGGAGAAAAAGCCAGTGGCCGAGGTCGGCTCCTGAACTTCCGTAGCGCCTCCTGCTGGTGGCCGACGCCAGCGCCCACCAGCCGGCCTTTGTGTTTTGGCTTTACAATGCCTCCAAGTTTGCACAGCTTTGCAATAGTGACGTCTGCCTTTGCTGGGGGTGGTGGGGGTGATGGCAGGGGTGCAGGTAATAGGGTCCACTTTTCTGTTGCTCCTGCTTTTGTGGTTTCAAGAATGTAAAGCAACTTCAGGAAGCCAGAGCAGCCCGGAAGCAGTGGGGAAAGAGCCGCCTGAGCAGGTTTAGCTGGGCAAAGCTGGGGAGTGTGGGAGGGCTCCCAGGCTGGGCCGCTGCACTGCACAAAAGCCCAGTGACTGGCAGAGTCAGTCTGGAAGCGGGACTGCTGGTATTAGAACCAGTGCCCACATGGGATCTTGGCATGTGCAAGGCAAGGACTTGAGCCACTAGGCTACCACACTGCTTCCTGTGTATCTGAAAGGGAGAGAGAGCTTCTCTCTGCTGATTCACTGCTCAACAGAGTTTCCTGTTTGTGAAAGATAAGCGAGCTCCCCAAAGCTGCAGGGCATTTGACCTTCTCTCTCTCTTTCTCTCTCTCTCATAGAAACCAGAGAGTCGTGCAGAGGTGACCAGCACTGAATCTGCAATTGGAACGAGTGATCACCCCGTATTAGGAGCAATCCTCACTCCCAGCAGGACTCTGTGTCCTTGCATTTTAGCCCCGCCGGGCTGTGGAATGGAACTCTGTGTGGAGAGAGGAGCCGTTTGCTTCTCCAACCAAGTGAGAGGAGCTGGAGGCAACAGCTAGAGAGCACCTCTTCTGCAATGCCTCCAGGAGTGCCAGTGAGGTTAGGGTTCCAGGATGTGTAGCGAGTCCCACATCTCTCACAGAAAGAGATGAGCTAGCCAAAGTGAGAGGCTCAGTGGTAGCATTACCCTGTGGTGGTGCTCAGGACATGAAAAAGATGGGGCCTTCAGGTCAGCTAGAATGGCTTTCCCACACACCCACAAAGGTAGGCGGAGCATTTCTGTCTGCTGTAGTTTCTCTTTCTCTTTTTTAAAGATTTATTTATTTTTATTACAAAGTCAGATATACAGAGAGGAGGAGAGACAGAGAGGAAGATCTTCCATCCGATGATTCACTCCCCAAGTAAATGCAGCACCCAGTGCTGTGCTGATCTGAAGCTAGGAACCAGGAGCCAGGAACCTTCTCCAGGTCTCCCACATGGGTGCAGGGTCCCAAGGCTTTGGGTGGTACTCAATTGCTTTCCCAGGCCACAAACAGGGAGCTGGATAGGAAGTGGAGCTGCCAAGATTAGAACTGGTGCCCATATGGGATCCTGGTGCGTGCAAGGCGAGGACTTTTAGCTGCTGGGCCACCAGGCCGGCCCCCTAAAGATTTATTTATTTTTATTGGAAAGGCAGATATACAGAGTGAAGGAGAGATAGTTCACTCCCCAAGTAGCCACAACAGATAGAGCTGAGCTGACCTGAAGCCAGGAGTCAGGAGCCAGGAACTTCCTTCAGGTCTCCCACGCGGGTGCAGGGTCCCAAAGCTTTGGGCCATCCTGAACTGCTTTCCCAGGCCACAATCAGGGAGCTGGATGGGAAGCGGGACTGCTGGTATTAGAACCAGTGCCCACATGGGATCTTGGCATGTGCAAGGCAAGGACTTGAGCCACTAGGCTACCACACTGCTTCCTGTGTATCTGAAAGGGAGAGAGAGCTTCTCTCTGCTGATTCACTGCTCAAATAGCTGCAGTGCTGGAGCAGGGCCAAGCCAAATCTAGGAGTCAGGGTATCTGTGCAGGGCTCCCACGTGGGTGGCAGGGCCCCGGCGCATTCATCTGCTGCCTCTCAGGTACATAGTAAAGCAGCTGGAACTTATGCAGGATTCAGACATTTCAAGCTGCAGCTTAACCCACTGTGTCACAATGCCAACCCCCTAGCTATCTTTGAAATTACAACTGGGGGATGGAGTAAAGGGGACATTGCAACATAGCAGGGTAAGCCACTGCCTGTAGCACAGGCATTTCATATGAGCACCTGTGAGCCTGCAGTCCCTAGCACGGGAATGGGACTTCATTCACAAAGCCCAGATTTGAAGATAAATTCAGAAAGAATTTCAAGACCGGAGACCAGTTTTGTGGCACAGTGGGTTGAGCTGCCAGTCATGAGTCCTGGCTGTTGGACTTCTGTTTTCTCTCCCTGCTGATACACCTGGGAAGGCAGCGGAAGATGATCCAAGTGCTTGGGTCCTTGCCAACCACTGGGGACACCAGGATGGAATTGCTGCTTTGATAGTTGGCCCAACACTGGCTACCGTTACATCCATGTGGGAAATGAAGCAATGGTGGTGCTGTGGTCTTAAGCAGCTAGTTCAGGGTCACAGGGTGGAAAGCCACACCTCTCCCACCTACACCTTTCTGCCCACCTGTGATGCTCACCTATCATCACCTGGAACCTGAGAGCGGGCGGTATTGTATTGTTGTATAACCACTCTGCTCACAAACCCCCAGAAGAAGGGATCATCTCATGCACTTCCTTCACTCTTGTATTCCAACTCCTGGGCTCCCCTATATCCCCCTTTTTCTGGCTTCCCGTGGACAGACTTTGAGGACAGATAACTCTGAACATGGCCCCTGTACATCTGTATTCCTTGCCCTCTGTTCACTGCTTGGGCAAGTCAGTGAAGATGCAGATGCTAGCATGCTTTGTATTTCTAATTTGTGAACTACCAGGAGTTCCAGGGAGAGGTGAGGCCTAGCAGTGATGGGATGTGGGCAGAGAAGCCAGGGAAAGGTGAATGTCTGCAGCTCTATAAGTGTGTCCAGGTTGTTTGCTGCACATTTCTTAGGATAATTTATACTGCTGGGGAAGCTGGAACATAGGTCTTTAGTTTAATGGACAGACTTCAGGGTAATGACCACTTGTTCCTCCCAGAGTTTCAATTCAGACTGGTTGCTACATGGACTTGTCAATTGTTAATTTCTAGTGGGCACTGCCGTCACCAAGCTTAATAAAGACTCCTTAATACACCCTATATTTGTCTGGTGTGATCTCTTGCACCCCACAACAGATGGAAGATCTGTCTTTTAGTCTCTGTTGTCCCCTCCTCCCCCACTGACCTTCAAATTAATTGACTTGCGAATAAAGAATTTCAAGACTGCGTAAAGTAGGTCTTTGGCATGGGGCAGTTAACTCATTGAGCCCCCACCCCCCCAGGTCCCAATATCAGAGTATCTGGTTTCAGTCTGGATTCCATTCCACCAATCCCACTTCCTGGTCATGGGCACGCCAGGCGTCAGCACAGCCTTGAGCCCAGCTCACTCTTGTGGGAGTCCCAGATGGAATCCTTGGCTCCTGGCTTCAGTCTGGCCCAGTGCTGGTTGTCATGGACACTTGGGGGAGTGAACCAGCAGATGGAAGATCTCTCTCTGTCATTGAAATATAATGAAAATAATAATAAACAAGTTCAAGACTACAACCACATTCCATGAAACCTCAAGTACAGGGTCCTTTTGATTGCAGATCACATACCCACAAAGCCAGCCCTGTTCATCAGGCCAAAGAAAAGAGGGTGTTTGGCTGGCATACTCTCTTCCCACCAGGAAACCCAGGGAGGAAGGCCCCCCCCCCCCAAGGCTTTTCAGCTGGGCTCCCCCACTCTTCCTGCTGATCACTACTCCCTGTGAGAATCTGCTGGTAGGTCATTTATCCATGATCTCATCTGAATCAGGAAAACAGGTCATTGGGTTCGTGCAAGGAAACCAGCACCACAACATCCCAACTTGCTTAGCCAGTCCCAGGACTGCTACCCCAGCACTGCTACCCGGGAAGGTAGGCGGCATGTGAGACTGTCCAAAATGAGTGTGCCTAGAGGCCTGTGAGGTTGGCATGGGGCAGAGCTCTGGCTGTTTGGGCAGTTGCCAAAGAAGGAAGTTAAGCATCTCCCTTACTGTCCTCCCAGGTTACTATACAACTTACAGGCTGCAGGTCGTGTCTGGGACAGGGCAGGTGCTGGCACTGAGTATTGCTGGGTCATGTTGCAGAGGGTCATGCCCCAAGTGGCTCCATGCCCTGAAGAGTACTCTTTAATTAAGAGGCTTTTTAGGGGGTTTTGAATCTGAGAGGACTGCTCTCTATCTGGCACCGTGAAGAGATCCCACAGCAGCTGGAGTCTTCCCTGGGGGAAATGTACCACTACAGGAGGCCACCCCCCCAGGTCTGCTTTCCAGGAAGGCAGGCCGAGTCAGCTAGCATGCCCCTGAGCCCTTCTCGCTGGGTGGCAACAGGAAGGCATTTTCTGAGCTAAGGGATAAAAAGCACTGAGAAGAAGCCAGTTTGGTTAGAGATGAGAGGTCCTGTCTGCTTTCTTGCTCTACCGTTCTGCACATTAATCATCCAAGCCCAGCATCACTGCATATTGGATCGTAGCGGTCCAGGGGAAGCCGACAGCCTGGGCTTTAGTCCCAGGAAACACTGGGCGGGCCCATCAGCAGCAGGCACCTGCCTGAAGAAGCTGGAGCTCCCCAGTGATCCCACAGCCTCTGGTCTCCTGACACACCATGCAGGCCCCTTTGTCAGCACTAGTGAGCCTCATATGGGAGTTGTTTCAGCCTAGAGTGAAGACCCTGCCTGCTGGATGACCAGGCCCTTTTCCAAAGCAGTCTATGAAGGCTTCAAAGGAAAAGCAACCGATCCCCTGCCTAGCCCTGAAGTGTTTCCCACTTCAAAGGAAGTCTGACCCTATTGAGCAAGAGTTCAAAGAACCTGATCAAAGATAACATTTACATTCATGAAAACTGTACAGTTTTTTTCCTCTTTGTACTGTGAAGCTTGAAGTGAAAAATAGCCATATCTCAGCTTTCTGGCAAGAGATCGGCAAATAGCAGTGCAGGAGTGGTCACAGCAGGATAGCCCGTTTAGCTTGTTTTTTATAACCTCAGTATACTGCTGAATTTCTAACACTAGTAAAAGGCTTTGAGGGGTCAATGTTGTGGCATGGCAATAAAACTGCTGCCTGTGTGACATTGGCATCCCATAAGAGCATCACTTTGCTCCCCAGATGTTCCACTTCCCACCCAGCTCCCTGCTAATGGCCTGGGAAAAGCAGTGAAAGATGGCCCAAATGCTCCCCATGTGAAAAGACCCAGAAGCAGCTCCTGAGTCTGGCCTGGCCAAGAGCTGGCCATTGCGGCTATCGGGAATGTACCAGTCAAACGATGACCTGTCTTTCCTTTTCTCTGTGCTCTGTACCTCTTTCAAAATAATAAGTAAATCTTAATAAACAAATGCTTTTCAAATGCTTAGGTAATTAGGTCATCAGAAATTGCCAAAAGTATTTTTTTAAGAGATTTCTTTATTTTATTTGAAAGGCAGATGTACAGAGGCGGAGAGACAGAGAGGAAGATCTTCCGTCTGATGATTCACTCCCCAATGAGCTCACTGGCCGGTGCTGCGTCGATCCAAAGCCAGAAACCGGGAACATCTTTCTGGGTCTCCCACATGGGTGCAGGATCCCAAAGCCTTGGGCTATCCTCAACCACTCTCCCAGGCCACAAGCAGGGAGCTGGATGGGAAGTGGAGCCACCAGGATTAGAACCGGCGCCCATATGGGATTCTAGTACGTTCAAGGCGAGGACCCTAATGATTATGCTATCACGCCAGGCGCAAAAGTGTTTTTTTTTAAAAAGATTTATTTTTATTGGAAAGTCAGATATACGGAGAGGAAAAGAGACAGAGAATTCGATCTTCCATTGGTTGACACTCCATAAGCGGCTGCAATGGCTGGAAATGAGCCAATCCGAAGCCAGGAGCCTGGAGCTTCTTCCGGGTCTCCCACGCATGTGCAGAGTCCCAAAGCTTTGGGGCCATCCTTGACTGGATGGGAAACCAGGCTGCTGGGATTAGAACCAGTGCCCATATGGAATTCTAGTGTGTGCAAACTTTAGCTGCTAGGCTATCTTGCCAGGCCCCAAAAGTGATCTTGATACTTTGTTACAAATGATCATTGAGGGCAATATTGAGGTGTAGTGTAAAACCATAGGAGACCAGCGTGATGGCACAGTGGTTAAGGTCCTCGCCTTGCACACACTGGGATCCCATATGGGCGCCGGTTCTATCCTGGCAGCCCCGCTTCCCTTCCAGCTCCCTGCCTGTGGCCCGGGAAAGCAGTCGAGGACAGCCCAAAGCTTTGGGACCTTGCACCTGTGTGAGAGACCCGGAAGAGGCTCCTGGCTTTGGATTGGCAGAGCATCGGCCGTTGTGCTCACTTGGGGAGTGAATCATCGGACATAAGATCTTCCTCTCTGTCTCTCCTCTCTGTATATCCGCCTTTCCAATAAAAATAAAATAAATAAAAAACTCCATAGGAGACCTTGAGTCAGTGACATGTGAGATGGCAGCAATGGGGATAGGTTCGGGCCTAGTGGTTTAGTGCCTGTGTCCCAGGCCCGGCATGACGGTTCAATGGCTAAATCTTCACCTTGCAAGTGCCGGGATTCCACATGGTGCCAGTTCATGTCCTGGTTACTCCATTTCCTATCCAGCATCCTGCTTGTGGCCTGGGAAAGCAGAAGATGGTCCAAAGCACTGGGACTCTGCATGGTCCAAAGCACAGGGAGACCTGAAAGAAGCTCCTGGCTGCTGGGTTTGCATTGGCTCAGCTTTGGCCATTGCAGCCACTTGGAGAGTGAACCAGGAAATGGAAAATCTTTCTAACTTTCCTCTGTAAATCTGATCTGTCTTTTCAATAAAAATGAATAGATCTGAAAAAAAAAAAAGCCCGAGTCCCACATCAGAACGCCTGTGTTTGATACTGAGCTTTGTCTACCATTTCCAGCACTGCTGCTAATGCAGACCTGGGAAGCAGTGGATGCCTTAAGTACCTGGGTCCCTGCCATCAATGTGGGAGAACCAGGTGGATCTCCTGGCACCTGGCTTCAGCACCTGACCCTGGCCTAGCCCTGGAAATTACACTGCTCGCCTCTCAAATTAAAAAAAAAAAAAAAAAAAATTTAAGAACCATCCATCCATCCATCCCAACCAAGCTGGAGGTGGTAAATTTCGTGCATCTCATACATAATATTGCTGCTAAGACCTGATGGTATGGACGGGTACTGACTCTGTATGTATAGTCTGTTAGCTCTGCAGCCTCTTCCTCAATGTCTGCCCCCACCCTCTCACCGATTTAATGAAACAAATATAAAGGTTTAACATTTAAAAAATTGCTGTATTCAAAATTAATAAACTTTAGGGCAAATAGCTTTAAAACAAAGTACATAAGCAAAAATAAATAATTTATACCAACTCACTAACCTAATTTTCAGAGTAAAGCCATTTCTAATTACAGCATTGTATTCCCGTGCACCAACCTGTGGTCAAACTTTGATAGTTCATTGTTTTTTTTTTAACAGTAACCAAAAAAACCGTAAGTAAAGTCTTTAACAAAACCCAAACACTGTATTTTTTTAATTTTAAATAACCAAACTTTATAATTTTATACATAATCCCAATGTAATGCAAATTTCAGCTTGAAGAGCTGATATTTAACAGGGACAGGAAACAATGACTGAATGAGTAATCTTCAAACCATGAGATACAAATAAAAATGGATAAGTGTCCAATGAACAAAAGCTGTAGACATTCTACTAACTGGGGAAACAGCTGAAGGCTCATTTCTCATCCACGATGGCTTCTGGAATTAGGATTGCTTGACGTGTAGAACCTTAACATCTCAGACACTGCAGCCTTTATTTCTTCACAGTAAGTTAAAAATCCACCCTAAAACCTGTGAGACAGCAATGGTCTTGCAAATAGATTCTAGGAGTTTGTGGTCTGATAAAAGAATAACATGAAAATTTACTGTGCTGCCCTAATTTCATACTTCCTTGTACAGAATGAATCAGTTTGGGAATCTATTCCAAGGGTTATGTACATAAAAGTGTCAAGAATAAAATGTTCTCCACTCTTGCATAAAAATGTGCACAGCGGGTCAGGAACGACAACTCCTCGTGTCCTGGGCCAGAGCCTGGTGGACTGCTGCTGCCGAGGCGAGTGGCTCTTCTTGCTTCCTAGTGCCTCGCTGGTGTGGCAGCTCAGTCATCCAGCCCCGGCGTCTCTCCTTGCTGGATCCTTGAGGCTATCCTGATGGCTTCCTCCAGAGATGGCTGTTCTCCAAGCTGAAACACACCACAGATGGCACATTCACAGCTCAAAAGCCACAGTCAAGCTAATGCCAAACAAGTGTTGTAAAACAGAATTAAAACTTGTCTGTAAATTTTGGATATTTTGTATGATTGTTACAATATTATTACTGACCCAATTATCAAGAGCATAAAATCAGATTTGTGCAGGGCAGAGCAAGAGTTTCATTATTTAGAATTCTAATAAATTTTTCAATAGATGTCATCTTGGCCACTGGGGACAAATGATTTGCTGAGTCTTTCAGCTGCATCTTCCTCATTTTTTTTCTCTTTTTTAAAGATTTATTTATTTTTTTATTGGAAAGGCGGATATACAGAGAGGAGAGACAGAAAGGAAGATCTTCTGTCCAATTGTTCACTTCCCAAGTGGTTGCAATGGCTGGACCTGAGCCAATCTGAAGCCAGGAGCCAGGAGCTCTCCCAGGTCTCCCACACAGGTGCAGCACCCCAAAACTTTGGGCCGTCCTCGACTGCTTTCCCAGGCCACAAGCAGGGAGCTGGATGGGAAGTGGGGCTGCCGGGATTAGAACCGGCGCCCATATGGGATCCTGGTGTGTGCAAGGCGAGGACCTTAGCCACTAGGCCACGCCGCCGGGCCCCGTTGTTGTTTCTAAAGCTGATTTATTTATTAAAAAGAATTACAAAGGACAGCCAGGGGAAATTGTCCACTTGGATTCACTTCCCAGATGGCTGCAACCACCAGGGCTTAACCAAGACAAAACCAGGAGCCAGGAGCTTCATCCAGTTCTCCCACAGGGGTGCAGTGGGACAAGGACTTGAGCCATCCTCCACTGCATTCCCCATGTCATCAGTAGGCAGCCGGAGCACAAGTGGAGCAGCCAGGCCCCAGCCTTTAGCTTCAATACCCATCAACTCAGTAGAAGCACAGGCTGGTATTTTTTAAGTGTGTGCTAACTCTTCAGTAATTAGGCACAGAGAAGCAACCCTCCCTCAGGAGGGCAGCATCTGTATCTAGGAGGCTCTGCTCCTTCCCTATCCCTACCACCCTTCCCCTGGTTTGTTTATTTATTTGTCTATCTGCAAGGCAGGGTGACAAAACAGAGGGAAAGACAAAAGAGGCAAATCTTGGGGGTCGGTGCTGTGGTGTAGGTAAAGCTGCTGACTGCTCTGCCAGCATTCGTTATCTAAACCTGCTGCTCCACTTCCAATCCAGCTCCCTCTGATGTGCCTGGGAAGGCAGTGAAGGATAAACCAAGTGCTAGGGCTCCTTCACCCATTTGGAAAACCTGAATGAAGCATCTGGCTCCTGCCTGGTTCAGCCTTGGCTCCTGGGGTCATGAGGGGAGTGAACCAGCAGATGGGAGTTCTCTCTCTCTTGCCTGCTTGCTCATTCTGTCTTCAAAAGAAATAAAATAAATCTTAAAAAAAAAAAAAAAAAAGGAGTGGGGAGATAGGTCGGGTCAGGTTGAAGACAGAAGCCAGGAATTCCACCCAGGTCTTTCCCTTGAGTGACAGGGGCCTAAGCACTCTGTCACTCATTGCCTCCCCGCGAGCACTGGCAGGAAGCGCCGTGTGCCAGGCTGAGAACTGTGAGCAGCACTGTCGTCAGCGGAGGACAGCTGGTTTTTGTACTCACCTGAACCGCAATCTGGG